GCGGCGCATGCGCGCGGTGGCGGGGCCGAGGGCGGGAGCGGTGGCGAGCGGCAGCGTTGTGGGCCGGAGCTAAGGGGCAGGAGGGCGGCGGCTGCTGTCAGTAGCACCCGCCCTTCGGAGGACGGCAGAAACTGTGGAGGGATGAGACGGGCGAGGGGTAGCCCCGGTGTGCGAGGGACGTGTGGGAACAAGGGAGCCGGGCTCGGATCTCTGGGCCGGCAGGATTCCTGCTTCGCTGGAGTCCCAGCCTGCCAGTAAGGGATTGTTTCCAAAGGAGTTGCAATAAGGGGAGAGCAAAGATGTGCTAGACAAAGTCCCGGGAGGAAAGCATGCACTCTGAATATCTAAGTTGCCTTGTAGTTGGCTTTGTTTTCGCTTGGCTTTGTATATTGCATATAATAAAGTCTCCCTTACTTGGATTTCTGCAATGGCACAATAGCCAACTGCCCACCATGGAGACAAGTACGGAAAATACCAGGAAGATGTATACCATAGGCTACAAAAATAAAATGTTGTGGCATCTTGCAAAGCAGACCTGACCCATACCTCTAAACAGTAGAAAGTATCCAGTCATGACCTTAACTGTGAAAGCTTCCAAAATCACTTTGATCCAAACGGTATTCCAGTCATGTCTAAATGTCTCTTCTTCCTTCCTTCTTTCAGCAACATCTGTTGGTCTTTTTGAGGTGTTTTCACTTAGGGCAGCTGAGCAGACTTGTTTTCTCGGCTGTCAGAATGTTAAATTGATGAGGCAGCACCTCAGTGGCATGACCAGAGCATCCCTGAGGAAATGGGCTGGCTTGCTGTGAGAGTCTTTGTAAAAAGAACAGGCTCAGGTCTTCACAGACTGACCTCAAAGGATAAACTTTCTTCTCTGGAAAGACAAACAGTTGCTGCCATATGCTTGAAGCTGTATTTCAAGGCCATACGTTCCTGCCACTGCCCACATTTAATGTGAGAATCACTGGCTGGAGTAAGTTGGGTTTCATCTGTTCGTTTCTGAGTATCCACGTAGCATCCCTGTAGACTACTATGCTGTCCTGTGTAAACGTCTGCTCCGAATGCTGCTCAGAGCAGGATTTTATTGTCTAGTTGGAATGTTATGGAGCCATGAACTTCCATATTTTTAATCGTATGGACAGTCTTTTTTCTTCTTCTGCTTGACTCGGTTGGATTCTGACAGCAAGTTTAAGCAAGGAGATGGACACTAATACAGAGTTTAACTTGCATGCAGTGATTAATCATTTTTTGCTAACTGAAGTTACTTTATTTGTTAAGTAGTAGTTCATATGCTAGGTGGTAGCCGAGCATAAACATAAGGACTTGGCATTGTCACTGATGGGAAATATTTTTATATTATTTAATGTAACAATGTTGTCACTGGTTAATCTTGTTTGGAACTGAGGGAATCTTGCTGATGTTTTCAGATGAGCTACTGCTTTCAGATTACAGGGTGCCTTTTACAAATCCTAGATGCTGAACAACTGGGCATTGCTCATACCTAATTAACTCACGTCAACCTTTTGCTGTTGTAAAAAAATTCATAGTTATTTTCTTGATTAGAAATCATTGTTGGTTTTGGGTTTCAGATGTATTCTGAAAGAACTGGAATCGTTGGGGAAAGCACTGTATGGAGCAAAATTAATTGCCCAAAGATTTCAGGTTCGAAACTGTTCTCACCACAAGGATCCTGTGAGTGGTTCAGCCTGTTTAATTTCCATGATCGAAGAAGGCAACCCTCATCACTTCTTTATCGCTACACAGGTAAATACTCATGAGAAATGTAACTCTGTGATCCCTTGATACCAAGGATAAGGAAACCTAGAGAAACATCGATTATTAGATTTTTAATCTTAATAGATTTTAAGCTTGTGGGAATTAATCTCGTAAAGCCTTGTTCCCTCTTAAATATATTTGCTAATTAAGGAGGGAATCTTTTGCCTTACTTGAACTAGATGTTTTAACCATAGAAGGATATTGCTTAGTTTAGCAGAAGGTGTAGAAAACATACTGACTACATATAGACATGTAAGACAACTGATTAATGTTAATTTGCATATTGCCTCTGTGTGCATCCCTTGCCCTGAACGTTTTTTTTGCAGTAGTCTGAAAAGTGAAATTAAGTGTTAAATGACCATATAACTTCAATTTTAAGAAACTTTGGAGAGTTTAAGTAAAGAATATAGGTTGAACTTGTGTACAAATAAGAAAGGCAGTTTTTTTCTTAGGTCTGTATGTATAAATTATATATATATAAAAGATACATAAAATGGTTTACAGTAGAATTTTGTATACTTATGTAAGATATAAGGAGTTTTAAATTACTTGTTATAGAAGAAATTATTTTACTTCTTGTGGTGGACTGCATACCAGAAAAACAGGGCTTTTTCCTCAAAAAATGAAAATATGCTTATACATGCATGAAAAAAGGAAATGTTAATAAATTTTCTATCAGAAGTACAGCTATTCGGAGTGAAATTGAAATTTAAATTGTTCTGAAAGGCACTGCAATGTATATCTGCTAGATTGTTTCTTATCTTTTTCATAATGTAATTTATCTTTACAGTTTTATATTAAACATAGGTGCATTTGAATTGCAAATATTGTTTAATCCCAAAATATTGACTCAAGTATTTAATTTTACAGGACCAGGATTTAGCAAACAAAGTCAAAAAGAAGGCCGGTGTTCCTCTCCTTTTTATTATTCAGAACACTATGGTGCTAGACAAACCTTCTCCTAAATCTTTGGCATTTGTTCAAAAGTTGCAGACAAATCAGCTTGTTCCAGAGCACCACAAACAAAGTATTGTGCAGCTTAAAGAAAAAGAAGGTCTAGCAAAGCAAGAAGGTGAAAAGAGAAAAAAACGTAAAAGGGCAGGTGGCCCCAATCCTCTCAGCTGTCTGAAGAAAAAAAAGAAGAAAACACAGGAGGGTCAGGAACCTTCTGCTGAAAAGAATAAAAGAAGAAAAAGGAAGCGAAAGAGAGTTAAAGCAGAAGCTGTGCAGTCAGTGCAGAAGAATGAAGAAGAGTAAACCCATCTTTGTAAACTGCAGGACTTCAACATTGTTTGAACTTTGCAAAAAGAAAGATTAATGTGCAACCATGTGAAATCAAGTTATTAATATTAAAACTTATTTTTATGAGGTGGTACTGCTTATTACTGCATCTCAACATTTGCAGGTTATTGTCCTAGTCATTTATTCTGTTGTTTAGTAATGGGGTTTGTGACAAAATACTTAGGAGCCCTCATGTTTCATTATTCTCTCCAGAATCTTAATTCCTGCCAAAGAGTTCACATGATCAATAGCAGTTTTTTAGAAATGCTTCTTGGGTTTCATACAGGTTTTGGTGGGATTCTAGACCTCTTTCTAAATCTAGGTTGCTATTTTTACTAAAACTAGTTTTGACAGTTGTTCTGTTACAGAATGTGGAATTGACCTAAAAAAGCTTAGTATCTTACATATCTGTATTGTTTGAATACGTAAGTTAACTCTTTCGCAAAGTGACCAGATGCCCTCAAGAAGTCTCTTCCAGCCTAAATGACTGTAAACCCATGTGAACTGATATGTATGTTATTCATGATCTTTATTTATTAAGAAGATCCTGGAGGGCATGTGATTGCGTTGATATTGCTGACATTATAATGGCAGCTCTAGTGGGTCTAGTTTATCTCTGGTTTATTCTTCCTTTTTAGATAGGAAGAATGCAACTTGAAAATGCTGAACCAAAGCACTGTCTAACACCAAATGACATCACAGTATAGCACAGCTGTGGAGGAGCCCTGAAATACAGCTAGCTGATGGTGGTGGGACTTGGACCCTGATTCATGTTTCACTGTTCTTGTAAGGTTATGAAGGGAACTGGGTTGGAGGAGGGAGTTACCAAAAATGTTTCAAGTACCTGATTTTCTGTAGTAGGTATTTCCTGGTGGCATGAGGAGGCAGAAGTGAGTGACTGGGACGACTTAGTGGAGGGTTATGCAGTACAGTACATGCTGTGGCATAGGTGTGCTGTAAAGGGATTCCCAGTCACCTCTTGCCAGATTTTTAACTTTTTCTGGCTGCATTTCTACTCAAGCGAGTTGTAATTCTTATAAGGAAGGCTTAAGCCGTGTTTTTTAAACAAGTCTTCAAACCTATGTGTAAAATGTTTGCAAAGAAGTTCTTATATGTGCATTATCTGCAGAAATTCTTGAATGTCTGGGGTACACACACAGCTATAATGTATGATGCTATAAGGACAATTGTTTCATGGGGTTTGAGTTCAAGTGATGGGATTTGGCCGGTCTTAGCAGAAACAGCAGGGTTGTTACCTAGAATCTGCAGGTTTCCCTCCAGCCAGCACAGGAGAGCTGTGTTAGTGTCCACTGTGCTTGCAGCATGGTCCGCAGCTGTTCGGAATGGACTGCGCCTTCATTGTCCCAGGTGGGAGACCACATGCATCTTGGGAACTGACCCCAAGAGATGAAAACAGCAAAGAAGGGTGCTATACTCAAGATTAAAGTTTTAAAATTTAAAACAGTCACGCTCATTGTGGTATTGTTCCTACGCTGCTTGCTAATTGTCCCGGGGAGAAATTTAGTAACTATTAGAAATTCTGTAATGCAGCATATTTGGTGTATATTGTCTGTCTCAAGCAGTCATATTCCCTGCTCCTTCACATATTTGGGCACAGTGACATGTTAATGTAGTTTGATTCCCATCCCCCCTTAAATATTGTTTGTATTTCTTCCCCTTCCCCAAACTCATCCACAGAAAGCACTGCTATAAGTAAAGCTTGGAGCCAACTGCGGAGATGGTTCATCTTCAAAATCTCATTCTCAGTCAAAAGTATATTAAAATCCAGTCACTTTACTAAAAATACTGGTTTTAAAAATTGAGCAGAAAACACACCCTAATTATTTATAATAGTCCCATTCAGTGCTGTTGAAACCCAAAGCTTAAATACACCTTTTTTTAAAGACCATAGACAGACAAAAACATAATTGCTGCAAAAAAGAATATTTTAATAGTACTCTAATGACTCCCACCTTAAGGAATTTAAAACAATATTTGTCTGTGTTTCCTTAGTATTTTGTTAACAGAGACTGAGTCATGGTGTTGCCATTGGGAAGAACTGGAATGAAAAGGGAGTGAGCTCTTAAGAGAAAAGCTTTAAAATTGGTCTGCAGTGTAGTAGCTCTCTGCCAGCAAGGTAAATAGCTTGCCTTTCAGTTTTCAAAGAGAGCGTCTGCCCAGGCAACAAACAGAGGCAATCGGCCCATGTGTTGATAGCATTTTGAAATTTTTAAAAAAACAACCCACACCAGTTTCCAAGTAAAATGAGCCCAGTGGGCCAAAGCTGATGGGCTGTATTTATATCATTAAACCAGTAATGCCAAGAGGAGCCTGTAGCACTTAGCCTGGCTGGCAGGGACTGGGTCTGTCCAGGCCAGGCTCTGGAAGTGCACAGCAGTGTGGACCGCCCCGTGCAGATGCTCTCTGGCTGCTCTACTTCTGCCTGCCAGGTTTTGGTGGAGATTTAGCTGGCCTGAGCTAGACAGCGTGCTGGAGTCCCTCTGTAGTTCAAAGATGTGAGTCACTGGGAGCGTCCCTAGGTGTTGTGTAAAACATCTCTGTGGAAGTACCTGTCGAGCGAACTTTGCTGTTGTAGGTGTTCAGCTCCATATTCTGCCCAAAGCCATGGTGCCCAGTCCCAGTCCCTTCTTTATCAATAAATGCTTTGGAGATCTGGCCAGATCTCTAGTATAGACAGGGTTCCTAATGTGACTCTTCTTAATAAGTCTGGGATCATTTTGCTGTAGTGTTTTGAAACAGAAAGCCAGAGGTGAATTATAAGGAGCTTATGCAAAAACTTCTTTGGGGCTTTGATTTCCTTTTTTCTCAGTCAGGATAAGTATATGCCCTGAATCCTATGCAGTACCTCACTGATTTTTTTTTTTTTTAAGGGAAATAACCACTGCTGCACAGTACAATGTATGCTACGTGTGCAGAGTAATATGCTTCAGCCACAATCTGCAGGGCATTAATGCTGAATTAAGGACACAGTCTCATCTACCAGAAGCAGAAGATACTTACCCAGACTGTCTGCTAATTCAGCTGGTTGGATTTATACATTGATGTGATCCGGTATTGTACAATAAATCACTCCCTGAGCATCTGTTAACGACACTAAATAGAGAAGTTAATTAGAACCTTCTGGAACCTGGGATGTTTATGAATCATTAAAGTAAATACGAATATGGTATGGCTTGGAGAATAAATACATTCTGGTGGTGAAAGGAAAACAGGATGTCCAGAGCAGTCCTGCTCATTTGTTTTCAGCTACACTGATACAGTGTGAATGACTTCTCCATCAGCTTTAGAGTGTTCCTGGAGTTTTTTGAACATGTTCTGTCAGATACAAGATGAAGAATGCCGGAACAATGCCATTATTTATTCTCATTGCATCTTTCATATAGAAGTTTCACAAGCAGCTACTGTATATTTCATACCTCTGTGTGGGCATAATCTCTCACACAGGGAGCAACCAGAGATACGGGGAATGAACAAATAAGAGCCCCAGCAGGTGTTATCATTTACAGTTTCAGGGAGAAAGATTGCAGTGTACCAAGAGAGAATGACAGAAAGCAAAAGTTTTCAGACCCAAAGAGTCAGGAGCGAGCGAGAGACTGCACCTTGTGATTTAGAAATGGCCTAACTAATGACGGGAGAGGGGCTTGTGATGTGTTTCTGGTAATTACTATGGCTGTGCAGTCCAAGCCCTAAATTTGTCTCAGAAAGCTCAGCTGTCTGCCCACAGAGGCAGTCATTTTGCAAACGTTGCTACAGCTTGTACAGAAGAGACAGGCTGGGCTCTCTCTCGAGGGGACTTTATTTCTGATTTCTTCTATGGTTGAGCGGAAGAGCGTGCAGCTGCACTCTGTGTATGGATACAGGGAAACAACGAAGCTGTTAACAAGGGTCCAATTAAAAACACCACAGAGCCAAGAGCTGGGAGGAAGAAAAGTGACAGTAGATTAGTCACTGGGATTTAAAAGAAACCAAGGAAGAGAGAAAAATATATATGAGGATTTCTGGGTGTTAACTGTAGGAAAGAATTGCTCAGTAGCAAAAGGTGAACCAGAAATGTCTTAGTGGTCAAGGAGGATAGGGAACAGAATAATAAACCATAAACAAATTAAAAAAAATATCCCTTAAGAAAACGTCATTGCCCTTTCTGACTCAGTTTCTGCTTTTTCTAAACAGGGAGGTGGACTGACTAAACTGCTCACAGATCCTGCGTTGATAGACTGAGAGTTCCCACAGAATGTAGGTCTCATGATGCCAAACACTCCTTGTCTTTATGGTTTTTCAATATTACACACTTTGCAGCAGTGGCAGGTTTGCAGCCAAATCCTTTTTCTGTAGAGCTTGCCTGACATTGCATGTGGCTCACTGCCCGGTACACAGATACTGCATCCAGGAGCAACCTTACTCATGCCATTATTGATAGGGTGAATTCATGTAATTAATTGCTCCTAAGGGCACTTGCAGCAATAGCCTGGATAGGCTGAGGCTCTCCTGGCTGTGGAAATCGTGACCCAAAGCATGGTACATTTTTTTTAAAGTCTTATCTCCTTCCAGGAACTCAGTAGGGGACCTCAAAAGTTTCTTGTTGCAGTCTTGACTTCCAGTTGATCCAGAATGATCTTTTTGCCATATTTATTCCTCTGGGACCAGAGATGCTACTGATTTGACTCTTCAGGGCAGTTATTCTTTCAGACTGTCTTGGAGAAACACTGAGGAAATTTTTCACTTTGTGAATTGGCACCCATTTCGACAGACAGGTTTTCAGAAAAAATGAAGAGAGCAGTTTTCTAGAATTCCTGGCTCCCTCTTTCCACCCCTGACCTCTCTTTCAGCTCCCAAGAATACAAGCACGGCTGTTCCAGGATGGTCCAAAAATCTGTCTAGCCCAGCATCACAGCTCCAATAGCAGCTGAAAGCTGTTCCTCATGAGCAGGATGAAAATAGACAAAGCATTTTTTTGCTACTTCCCAGATGACTTTCCAACTTTCTGACAATTTGTTAGGGAGTTCCTGACCAAGAGAAAATATTTTGTTTTTAACAGCACACAATGAATTTCTGTTTCACTAGTCTTT